CAGGGCTGTCTGGAGGAGGAGTGGGCGCTGCGTGATCCCTGTGCCGCAGGACACAGCTCCCTCTGGCACAGAGGGGCGATAGGAGAGCAGGGAGAGCCACGTGGGCACCGCGACACAGCAGGGCACAACCCTGTGACGGGCACTAACTTCCACCGCTGTTCCGGAGCCACATCCCTGTCCTCAAATTCCTACCCACTCCCGAAACGCTCCCTCGCACCCTGATCTCTGTCCCCACGGCACAGGGCACTCTGCCCCCCCTACTCCTCCCTCCACATGCCCAGCTCCAGCGAGGGCATCCCCCATCTCGCTGATGGGCATCGAGTCCCTCATGCTGTTCCTCCTGGCAGAGAGGGGTCCCGCGCCCCGCATCGCTCCGACGGGTCATGTTTTCTGGAGACTGGAATCACAGAATGGCTTGGGTTGGAAGGGACCTTAAAGATCATCTATGCCAACCCCTCTGCCATGGGCAGGGACACCTCTCCCTAGACCACGTTGCTCAAAGCCTCATCCAACCCGGCCTCGGAGTCCCGAGACATCCGAGACAAACAGCTGACCAGCTCCACGAAGGGTTCTGATGGCTGTGAAGGACCAGATCATCTCAGCGGGAGCAGAGCGAACATGCCAGGCAGAGCCTTAGGGCATGGAATGCCACGCGTGGTGCCAGAGGGCTCCGAGCACTCCCCGGCACTGCGGCTCCCCCGGGCACAGCTGGTGCCTGCGGTGACAAGCGCCGCCTTTTCAGTGGTGACAATCCACTTTGATTTTTCTTCTGCGTATTTCATCTCTGCAAGAGACTGAAAATAACCGGCGAATAACCGGAAGGCTTGTTTGGAAAAACCAGGCCCTTAACAAAAAACATCTCTAACGAGGGCTGGAGTCAAACGGTACCTCTGCTGTCGGCTGGCAGACACGGTCGTTTTAGACACGTTTATAATTACAGCCATCCAAGCTGTGCGGATTCTCATCGTCCCCCCTACGAAAGGTGTCGCTCACTCCGCTGCCTTCACACGGAGCAGCGGGTCCAAGGAACCGCGAGGACCCAGGAGGAACGTGGGAGGCAACACGCAGACCTCCTTGGAAGCCTC